AAGAACAGAAAGAAACGATGAAAATAGAAGGTATGGCAAATGGTGATAAGCTTGTTCCTTATGAAAAATCGAGATTTTTGTACCCTATATAATCTGAATAGCATTGAAGATAAACTGAATAGCATTAATTATAAGATTACTTTAATTTACAAATAGACAAATCCAAATAAAATACAAAATAATAATAATAATAAAACCTATAAATACAATCAATTAAGCTAAATCACTGCCACTAATTACTCTCAATTCATCTCCGAATTATCATCCACCTCCATCACATCCTCAAACCCCACCATCTCTACTTCTTCTTCATTACCACCACCACTGCCACCGCCGCCATGCACACCCTCACCCTCATCATCATCGTCATCTAACACCGTGATTTGGGGACTATTATATGAAACTGATCTACTGTGCGTACTCAACTTGCCAGGTCTTGGACTTAGATAATCATCCGATAAGACCTTTCTAATACTTGGACTAGCTTGCCTTTCCACACCATTTCCATTATTATTATTATTATTCTCAAATAACCCACCAGTCGTAGAGCCATTCTCATTCCCATTTCGATTCGAATTCCCATTCACAGAATTATTATTACGATTATTTTGACTATTGTTATTATGTTTCAAATTCTTAGCAAAATCACTCAATCGATTATTATTATTCTGTTTCGACAATTCTTTCAATTGATTAATATTATGAATACATTTATTTATCGTCTGCATTAACAACTTCGGTTTCAATGGTTTTGACACATAATCATCCATCCCCTTCGCTAAACTCTTTTCCCGATCTCCCAACATCGCATGCGCCGTCAAGGCAATAATCGGAGTTCTTAAACTCAATGAATCAATCGGATTGGATTTCTTTTCCCATTGTCGAATCTTTTCCGTAGCTTCAAATCCTCCCATCACCGGCATTTGAACATCCATCAATACGACATCATATCGGGTTTTACAAATTGCTTCAAACGCTTCTAAACCATTTTCGACAACTTCAACTTGATGTCCTTGTTTTTCCAAGATCCGGACGGCGAGTTTTTGATTCACGAGATTATCTTCCGCTAACAAGATCTTATATCTGACTGATTCGTCCGAGTTTTGTGAGATTGATCGAGATTCCAAAGCGGGGATGATGGCCAGGGCAAGGTCAGTGATCGTACATGGGGTGTTTCCATATGAGGAGATTCCGAGATCGATACAGACTCGCATATTCAATTCCGGGATTGAATGATGTAATAATACCAAGGGGATATATTTAACCTCGGGCACAAGTTGTAATTTCTTGGCGGTTTCTAAGGAATCAATAATGATGATGTCATATTTATTGGGATCGGTTAAATTGGCTTGTTCAATTTGTCGAACAAATACTGGATTTAATCCTAATTCAAATAAATTTTGTCTAATTTCTTCCAATTCAGATTCGGTATGTTCAGTACTGACAAATAATATATAATGGCCACTAAAAGGTAACATTTGTTCTGTTTGTCTGGTATATCTAATATTCGAAGGTGAAACACTCACTGTGAAATAGAAATTCGATCCATGTCCATACTCCGAAGTCACCCAAATCTCACCACCCATTAAATGAATCAATTGTTTTGAAATCGAAAGCCCTAACCCAGTCCCTCCGAATTTCCGGGTAGTTGAACCATCAGCTTGACAGAAAGTATCAAAAATTAATCCCAATTTATCCTTCTCAATCCCAATTCCAGTATCACTCACACAAAATTCTAATAACAACTTATCCCCATCTTCTTGTTTCTTTTGATTAATGGCTTTTTTAACACTAACAGTAACTTTCCCCTGTTTGGTAAATTTAATAGCATTCCCAGCAAGATTCAAAATAACTTGTCTTAATCTAAATGAATCACCAATTAAATTATCCGGAAAACTAGAATCACATTGATATGTCAAATCCAAAGATTTTTCAATCGCTTTAACCGCCAATGTCTTCAATGCTCCAAACACCGTCCCCCTCAATGAAAAATCAATCTGTTCAACTGTCATTCTATTAGCTTCAATCTTCGAAATATCCAAAATATCATCAATGATAGTCAACAACGAATTAGCCAAATTATGAACAATACTCAACATCTCCCTCTGATATTGCGTCAACTCCGTCTCCAATGACAATTGAGTCATTCCAATTATCCCATTCAAGGGAGTTCTAATTTCATGAGACATATTGGCCAAAAATTCCGATTTGGCACTATTGGCCAATTCCGCCGCCTCTCTGGCCGCCGTATTTCTTTGAATCGATTCTCGTAAATTCAAAACCATTTGATTAATCTTCGTTTTCAAAGCATCCATTTCCCCTGATGCCTCAACCGTAATAAACCGGGTGAAATCCCCATCAGTGGCCGCGGCGGTGATTTGGGCGAAAGCACGCACTTGAGAAGTAAGATTTGATGCCATTGTGTTTACATTCGAAGTAATTTCTTTCCATAATCCATCCACATCACTGACTTGGGCTTGAATACCCAATTTACCATTTATACCCACATCCCGGGCAACTTTTGACACTTCACTGGCGAATAATTGTAAACTATCCACCATTTTATTAATGGTGTTTTTTAATTGTAAGATTTCCCCCTGGGCATGAACATCGATTTTTTGGGATAAATCACCATGAGCAACTGCCGTGGTGACGGTAGCGATGGCACGGACTTGATTGGTTAAATTTGTGGCCATGAGGTTGACATTCTCGGTGACTGCTTTCCAAGCTCCTTCGACATCTTGAACATTGGCTTGTCCTCCTAATATACCCAAAGTACCAACTTCTCTTGATAAAGTTGTGACTTCTAATGCGAAATTTTGTAATCGATCCACCATTTGATTGATTGTAAGTTTTAAATTTAAGATTTCTCCTTTACAATCAGCTGTAACTTTTTTCGATAAATCCCCCTTAGCAACTGCAGTAGTAACATTAGCAATATTTCTAACTTGAGTAGTTAAATTCAAGGCCATGGCATTTACATTATCAGTTAATTCTTTCCAAATCCCTTCAACATTTTCAATTAAAGCTTGTCCTCCTAAAATCCCCAATACACCAACATCTCGGGCAACTTTCGAAACTTCAAATGCAAAAGTACGTAATTGATCAACCATAGTATTAATAGTCATTTGTAATTGTAAAATTTCCCCCTGGGCATGTACATTAATTTTTCTTGATAAATCACCACTGGCAACTGCTCTTGTAACATCAGCAATTTCTCTAACTTGATTAGTTAAATTAAGGGCCATAATATTGACATTATCAGTTAATGACCTCCATATCCCCACTGAACCTTCATTTTTAGCTTGTCCTCCTAATTCACCATTGGCAACTTCGGTAGCAACTTTTGTAACTTCATTAGCAAATGTTTGTAATTGATCCATCATGGTATTTATGGTGATTTTAACTTTTAAAATTTCGGGATCATTTTCAACAGAATGGATTTCAACTTTTTTAGATAAATCACCCATTGCTACAGAAATAACCACGGTACCTATTTCACTAAGGGCTTGTTTAAATGCTTTATTTGCCGTTCTTGAAGTTTCTAATTCATGAGATAAATCATTTATAATTAAATCTTGAGATCTTATATGTTTAATTAATTTATTTCTAATGTCATGATTAGCAATTTCTAAGAATTGGGGATCTTCTAATGTTTTTAATATTTCATCAGATGTTGCAATTGTCATTGTATCGATCGAGGGAGGTGTAGTGGTTGGTTGTGGTTGATGTGGTGGTGGCGGAGTAAAAGAAACAGATGATATTGGATTAATAAGTGGAGTGACAGTAGTAGGAGTTATACTAAGAGGAGAAGGAGTAGCAGTAGGAGTAGTTGCAGTAGTAGTAGTAGATGAGTTTGAATGAGAACAGGAATTCTCAGTTAACTTTAATTTCTTTATTGGTCGTTGAATTTTGGATAATAAATTTTTATAACAAATGAAATGAAATAAGGTAAATTAAATGATTTCTAAGATAGATTAGTCTAGATTCCAGTTGTTGTAATTAATAGATCTATTAGTAGTTTAAGTATGAAGATGACTGTTGATTTATATATAAGACTGACAGTTTGTGTGTTGGTTGTAAAGAAAGAAAAAAAAAGGATTCAACTTGAAATAGCCATCAATAAAAGACAATTGGTGTGTTTGTATTTTGTACCTTAAAATAAATGTATTGTTCCTGTATATAAGAACTAAGAAATCATTAATTTAATTTATTATTGTTAAGTGACGTCACCAGCCACTCATTAATTAATTACACTTCTATTCTTATTTCCCCCCCCCAATTGTATAATTAAATCTATAAACAACTTTATTCTATAAATAAATAAATAAACTATTGATCTTATTTGATTAACATAATTAGTCAGTTGATGCTACCATATATTATACATTTATTACTTTAGTTTTTATATGTTAATGGATTAGATAGACTCATATCTCTTCTACCACACATAATATGTGGAAGATCATAATGATAGGGAGGATTAAGAATGGGAAGTAAGAAAGGCGGAATTAAATAAACTATTGATGTCACTTAATAATAATAGTGATGTCAATACTAATTGACATTTAACAGACTTTTTGCTTAGACTTATCAATAAATTGATTGTGGCAAATATGTAATCTATGTAAATTTATGTGACAAATAATTCGTAAATATTTCACATAAAAATCTTACAGTTGCTCTTCTCACGACACCACAAAATAACATCAAAATTATTGCACATGATTTCTAAATCTAGATTATTCTACAATCTAGATCTATAAATGCTTTACTAAATGTCAATTCTAGAATATCCAAATGATTATTAGCAAGCAAATGTATAAATGTAAAAAAGAATAGCTGCAAAAAATAGATAAGTAACTTTGGTGGGGACGGTGGTGGTTATGAGACAAGAGAGAACCCTTTTTTTTTGATCCTCGGCTTAAATACAAACCGAGAAAAACATCCAAACATACACACAATAGGCTAACTATCTCGTTAAAACCGTTAGATCAGACACATTCGTTTAGAGAATTTAAGGTGAATACAGACAGAACTCACTCAATGGTTCTCTAACTGTTTGAATAGCGGGATGGAAACTAACTAATTTGCCTAAAATAGTACAAACACAATCAGATATTAACATATTATCCAAATATATGATTCACTCTCTTTCAGAATAATAGAAATAAAACTCTGGTCATATCCCTAATCAACCTGTCCTACAGGAAGTGTACTTTAGTAATAATATAGATCTCTGGTAGATCTCATTTACGATTATGAAGCTTTTTGACTTTCTTATGGGTCAGAAAACTAAATGTTCAGGAATTGATAGTTATTATTTTTGAGATCTATACTTTTGCAAAACCACACTAACACTAGCTTGGGTAGTTGTGGAAGGGGAAAAGTTGCAAATTTGTCCATTTATTGTGGGGAGGATGTTCCATATTCTTTGTTTGTATTGACTTAGTAGCTGAAACATGTGCGTTCCCAAACGCGGGTGGTGCATATAAAATTTGTCTTGGAGTTTTACTCCTTTGGAACATAAGGAATCAAACGGAATAAAAAACAACTCGTGAGATGGGTTTCTATCTACCGTAATCAGTCTACACTCATGGAATAACACAAACTCTATCTAAATCGTAAAGAGAAGACAAAACAAGGTTACAAATTTTATAAATTTTAATTAATCCGCATCACAATGATCCGTACGTATATACTCACATCATTTAAGCAACAAAAAAAAAATTATTATTTCGGAGTTTCATGAAGAATTTCACCAAAAGTACACGACCCCATTCATTTTCATTAATTAAATATAAATTTCCATCAGGTGGTGAACTTATTCACTTACCACTTGTTACTACTCATCTGCTTTTAATATTACTGACAATCACCCAATTGACTTTCATTATATAAATAATACCAACAAGAGAACTTCAATTTTTTTCATTAAATTTTCATTCTTTTTTTTAACTCAGTATTCATTTATTAGAAAGCAACAATCATTATGTTATCAGTTGTTAATGGTACATCCTGTCTATGTTTGACAGCAGGTACAGTTACATCCCTCAATGAAGCAATCAATTTCTATACCAATGTCTTAGGATTATCAATCAATTCAGAATTAGACAATATCACCTACTTATCATCCGATTCCAGAAAAGAAACCCATAATCTCGTAGTTGAATTAAAACTCGACCCAGCCACCGGTCTTTCCGATCTCCAAATCGATGCCAAAAAATCATCAATCTTATCACAATTAAATATCACCGATTGGAGAAATTTAGATTGTTCATACATCTTAAAAGTCGACAATATCATCAATTTAATTGAAAATTTCCAAACTTTTAAAATCCCCGTTCAAATCACCCCCAATGAATTATATCCCAATGAAGTATATTGTATCGATCCATTAGGTTATATCATCGGCTTTACCTCCCTGTCCAACCCCTTGACAGTCTCCCCACCATTACAAAAAACCCACTTCAAAGCCACTGCCGCCGGTGCCGCCACTACAGGAACCCTAACCCCCTATCCTATGTCAGTTTCAACCTCTTTGGCCCAATCCATCTCCTCAACCGCAGAAGCAAACATGCCCAAAAGAAACATCGGGATCATGACCAGTGGGGGAGATGCTCCCGGGATGAATGCCGCCGTTAGGGCTGTCGTTAGGGCCGCTATCTATCGTGGATGTAAAGCATTCGCCATCAAGGAAGGATATGAAGGATTAGTTCGCGGTGGACCTAATTATATCAAAGAAATGAAGTGGCTGGATGTTAGAGGATATTTATCTGAAGGTGGGACCAATATTGGGACTGCTAGATGTATGGAATTTCGAGAACGGTGGGGGAGATTGGATGGGTGTAAACATTTGATTGACGCAGGTATTGATGCTTTGATTGTTTGTGGTGGTGATGGGTCCTTAACGGGTGCCGATT